GTTATTTACACAGAGCTGGAGAAGAAGAAGAGGATTCATACCATTCCCAGGGGTATTAGCACGTAAGTTAATGTAATGGATTGGATAGGAAGGCAAGATGGAGTAATGGATAGCGGCTTGGATTGAGGAAGTCGTCTGGAGGCCGCGGTGGAAGCCAATGGCGATATTATTGAAGTAATATACTCTATAGTATTTCAAGATATTTTTGTGTAATTTTGGTAAATATATCTGTTAAAATCAGATGTCAGTGTTATTTTCATTTGTATGTAATTTAGACGTCAAATTGACCCTATATATATATATATATATATATATATATATATATATATATATATATATATATATATATAGACCGGCTGCAATATAACATCATTCAGCTGTTGCGGACCCACCGTGTGAAGAGGTACTGAGCTTAATGGGCCGAAACTCTTTGCGGAATAACGCCGCTCAGCTGAAGATTGCAGCTGGTCAGGGGGCACTTGATGTGTATATGTGTTGTTTATATATATATATATATATATATATATATATATATATATATATATATATATACACGTTTGTGTGTGTATGCATGTATACAATTCGAATTTTGCTGTATTTATCGTGAAAGAGTACTTAATATAGTGAATAGGACATTTGAAGATATAAACAATGTACAGGCAATTAACAGTTCATAGCGACCGGTAATTTCACAACTTAAGTAATCATCGTGCACTCACATATGTGTGGGTAAATGTAGGATTGAGTGAGTAGAGACCTGTTCTTGTAGTGCATGAGTAAATTGTAACGTGTGTATGGGTCGCGAAACAGATTAGCTAGGTTTAGGGTAGTTAATGACAACCAGTCTCACCCCACTTTCCCTTTGGCCTTGTGTCAAAATTGTACGTGAAAAGATACAATAAATATACATCTGTGTGCGTATGTTTGTGTGTGTGTGTGTGTTTGTGCGCGTGCGCGCGTCTCTACACATAATGTACTAGGAAAGTGTTATTAACATATCTCTTATTCGTAATTCGTGATCCTCGATGTGGTGTAATGGTTAGCAGGCTTGTCTCGCTGAAACAATTACGACTGAGTAGTGAGTTCGATCCTCGCTGGGTGCCTCATACTTTCCGCCTTGTGCCACATCTAAGCTCCGCTTGGAAATCTCTTATTCGTAACTCGCATCTTCGGATGTTCCTCTTGTTAATGATTTCCCAGTCTGTCTTCTCACAATTGACTGAGTCCCTGCTTCCCATTACTAACTTGTCTCGTATATTCTGCAGTTTTCCCTCGGCACTAGGTATTTACCCGGCATCATCTGCGCGTGCTAAGATTGTGTCCACTAATAATAAATAGTTTTAGAAGTTCTACGAGGGTCGACGGAAGTTTGACCAAATACAGGCAATTAACACTGGGAACACCTGGTACTGTAAGCCCCCAAAGTCCAACCCTTACCTCACAGTCAGTGGGGGGTGTAAACGGTAGTGTCAGAGCTATGCCGCCCGGAACTTCGTTCCTGGTAGGGCCACCCAAGGCGGACAGGTCTGACACACACGCCGGCTAACAAGGGCTTCTGGTCGTTCCTGTCTCTGCGTCTGTGGGAACCCCGCGGCAAGCAAGAACGTTATCCGAGTAGGCCTGGGTACCCTACTTCTGTAATTTATCCCAAGAATCTTCTTCTCATAACAGGAAGAAGCCGGCTCAATCCGCCCAGGGTGAATGCCGCATCAATACAGTAGTAGTAATTAACACTGCATAGCGACCGGTAATTTCACAACGAGAAATCATGGGTGACTTTTTGGAGAAACAAATGCTGGCGACTCTTTTATATTATATTACGCAGTCGTAATTGTTCCCTTTGAGGTCTAAATTTTCCATTGGGGCAACATTGCTTGGATCCCATTGGTGAAGAAGCTTTCTTCCTGTTGGTAAAAAAAAAAAAAAATCATCAACGGTGGATATGACGTCATCATCTCTGCAATACTGCTACCGGCCAAGTGTATCTTTTCATGTTTGGTAACAGATATTCAGAAGGAGCCAAATCAAGAGAATAGGGAGGGTGATCAACAATTTCACAGCCAACGTCATACACAGCAGCCATTAAAACTAAGGAATTGTTTGCTGGAGCATAGACCTGATGAAACAAGAACCATTTCGTCAGTTTTCCTGGGCGTTTGTTTTTTTTTTTTTTGATAGCCTTTTGTAACTGCCTCAGTAAGTTGGCGGAGTACTCTCTATTGATGGTGTGGCCCTTTTGAAGATTGTCAATATACATCATGCTTTTTGCATCCCTCAAAAAAGGCCTCCATCTTCCATACAAATGAAATGGCCTTGACCTTCTTTGGAGAAGACGAGAGGTGTTTTTACTGCAGTTATTATCTCTTTATCGCTGGCTCAAAGTGAGGAACCAACTCAACACTCATCCTGGATTTGGAAACGTTCAAGGAGACCAAATATATCTCAAACAATGTCAGATATACCAGTGATGTGATCAGCCTGATGCGTTTTTGATCATGTTTCAGAAGACGGGGAAACCATCAAGCAGAAACCTTCGTCATTCCAAGTTCATTGTGAAGAATATTCTCACCTCACTCACAAGATATGCTGATAGCATTGTCTATCATTTTTTTTTTATTCTTTATTATAAATTTATTTATTTCATTTTCCCAGAGAAGACACAGACATATCGTTCTAAGTATATCTACGAAAGCGGGATAAATGTTCTTGAATCGAAGTTGATTTCCACATGACAGTTCTGCTTTTGGCGACGTTTACCGCTTCGCTACACGCACAAACTAGATTCTCTTTGATTGAAAATCAACAAAGATAAATAGAAAAGGAAACATTTTATTGCGATCTCTCGTTGGTGAAAGTGAGTGTCGCCATTCAGTGTTGATTCTCATCTCCATATGTATTGTCCTCTTTCTATATAAATATAGCAAATGTTTATAATATATATATATATATATATATATATATATATATATATTTATATATATATATATATATGTGTGTGTGTGTGTGTGTGTTTGATTTTGATGACTGCAAAATCTAAAAGGGTCAGTTGAGAAGCGTCTGTGAGAAAAAGAGCATCATGTCGCAATTCACCCCGCCACAGAAAATGGAAACAGCATGCTGTACTGCTTGGCATTCGCACTGGAAGCTCCAATACGAACAATTTAGACCGTTTGAATGTCAATCTGAGGACAGTGCAGAGGAATCGGAAAGAGTTGGATGAGTCTAATGATGACTTCGAAGGTACTTCAAAAAAATCACTCATGATTTTGATAAGGCCTTCAGACTCAATACAGAGGTCTACATCAAATTCAGTGAGAAGCTAGTGCTGCCCTAGGTCAAGAGGGTGACTGCTGGAAGAATCTATATCTGGTAACAGGACTCTGCACCATGCCACGCAAGTAGGAGAACTCAGTCATGGCTGTCAGATAATTCCTGCAAGCACATCATTACTTACATCTAGCCACTTATCTCCCTAGACTGCAACCTTGATTTATATGCGTGAGGTGTAGTTGAAGAAGAGACGAACAAAACTATATGTAACACCAAAAATGAACCGAAGGCAAGGACTATAGTAGCTTTGACCAACGTAAACAAGGAGACTGTCCAGAAGTCGTCTGGAGGCTGCGGTGTAAGCCAATGGCGATTTTATTGAATAAATTTACTTTTGCATTTCAAGACCTTTTTCTGCATTATTTAGGCGACAATTTATCTATCACACCCTATATATATATATATATATATATATATATATATATATATATATATATATATATTATAATATATATATATATATATATATATATATATATATATATATATATATATATATATATTTCCAAGAGGATAAAATCCAGCTAGAACTCTATGTACAAGACAGAGAAAGAATATAATATAAAAGGCTCAAACACTAATATTCTATAGTTAAAAAAAGGAAACAGAAAATATAAATCCGGAGTTATATTTTCCGATTTCTCTTGGAATTTGTAGGTCTGAAGAATTCGGTTGTGATTAAATTATAAACATGGGATATTAGTGTTTGAGCCTTATATATAACTTAGAAGCTTCTATATATATATATATATGAGATCGTTAAAGCCTTAAAAATCACATATTTTAGAAATAACTGGAGTTTAAACTGTTTAAAACCGTGTCAATTTGTGAAAATTAAACAAACGAGCAAAAATAGTTCAAAAGACGCCAGACTTAATGTTTATCAGATACACCACTAGTCAGAGTAACGTACCTCTATTCAGGGTCATGGACCAGTATTAATTTGTTTGGCGGTAGGTGTATCTGCGCGACTTGTAGTCGGAAGATAATTTTTTTGAATTTAAAAAAAATCTATCTATCTATCAGTTGGAATCAAACACAGATCAAATATGGATCGAAATCCGACAGAATGATAAGATGAAGAAGAAATAGAAACATTTATCAATCTAACATGTTTCTCTTTTATTAAAGCTTCTCAATATCTCATTCTCTTATGAAGGATTAATAAAAGTGAAAGATGTTAAATTGATAAACTTTTCCTATTTGTTTTTTATCAGTTTATCTATTTATTTATCTAGTTAGTTAGGTAAGTGTATGTGTGCGCGTGTGAGTGCATAACTTTTATCTGTAAAATTAACATTAAAATAAATTGAATTAAAACACAAACAAACAGTAAAAATGAATAAAAAAAAATAACGCTTCGGGATTCTCAAATATTTTCCTTCAAGCCACGATTAAAGCCTTCGAGTTTAATGATTGATGAACGTTTATATAATGTTAATTCATTTCTATCATACGCCAAATTACTTTGCTCTCAGTCATATTCAATGGCTCGCCGCGGATTCTCCAATTTGGATAGGTTATTAAGTGAAAATAATTTTAGATAAAAATATCAGTTTGTGAAATTATTTAACGAGTTGACTACAAATATAAGCGTCAATTATCCTTCATTATCAAATGCCATTAAAAAATAACAAAGGCTTTTATATTAAGCACTCTGAAATCATGTGATGTCTACATATGCCACCCTCACATTTTATAGGCTTAAGAGCACATCACGTTCCCGTACGATAAAGTTTTTTTTTTTTTTTAACTTTTATTTAAAGTTAAGAAACGTCGATCCTAGTCAGTACATAGCTGGGTGACTGCGTGGGAATATCAGGTGCTGTAAACTTGGATTTGCGGCTGGTTAATAATTCGGAATTGTTAATCAGAGATCCGAGTTCGAATTCCAGTTGGGTTAGTTATATTCACCTGCGCAAATACGCTTGGGAAAAGTAAGAATTTGACTCTTTCCCCAGATATGGATTAATTAGTAACGCTTGTATCGCTATACTATAATCCCAAATCTTTACATTTGGTCATATCAAACTCTATAGCTAATTTTATTCATAGATTTTGATATGCCGTTAAAAAAAATAAAGCAACCAACCAATCACACCTTGCAAATATAAGTTCATTTCGTATTAATGCCGTGTGTAAAAGGCATAAAAAACTCTTCTGCCTGTCTATCGCTTCGCAATATATCTTGGAAAAAAATACTTCCTCACTGGCATTGTGACGTATTTGAAAAAGAAGAGAACGATCAAAAACAAAGGCAAATCTTTCTCTCGTAAGTAATAATTCATTTTACATTAATTCATTTTACATTATTTACTGTTATCTTCATCTTGTTGTTATTCCAACGTTTCGGCCTTTACAACTTCAACCTTCATCAATTGTTTGTCGATCCGGGTATCCTTCAAGGAATTTTGAACTGATCAGTTTCTTTAACACTTTCATGTCCCCTGGGACACATGTGTCCCACAGACGTTTTCAACACGTCCTGTGGGACATCACTGAGTTATGTGCCATGCGTGAGACATGCTTAGACGATTATGCATCTTTCGATACATGAATGTGGAGGCAGATTTTTTCCCGCAGTAGGTTGCCATTTCTTTCTGAGGTAGACCAGATGTCAACCGAGGCTTTAGAATACGGTCTGTCCTGCTGTTTATCCATACCTTGCGAGAGAAAAAGAAGATTCATAACTTTTCCCAAGTGTATTAGTACGTAAGTGAATTCGAACACGGCTCTTCGATTCCTCACTCCGAGCAACTGTCCCAAAAACACATTGATATGGGATAAAGCGGACATTGTGTCCCATTGCTCTATTTATAATAATAAATTCATTAATATTATTTTTCTAAGTTAAAGTCGTTTAGATATGTCTACCGAAACGAACAATAATATGTTTTGCTGTAAACATTAATTACGCGAATGTAGACTTGAAAGGGTTTATCTATGGGGAGACATTGTATTCGATCCACTGTCCATGTTTAGGGATAGCACGTCTTGTTCCTATTTACTACCACTCAGTCCTTCTTCACTCCGATTCTACTGAGTTCAAGTACATTCTGCTCATCCCAGGGATTGAACACTCTATTACGATGTCACCAAATCCACGAATAAATGTGCCACAATAACCAATTTGATTAAGGAGTCTTATAGCAGAATGACAATGCAGCGCTAAAATAAACTAAAAAAAATTATCGTAAAATTACCAGCAATGTTTCTTTTTATGATCTGCAAACTATATATCTAAAAAACATGCGGTTGCACTGAAATTATAAAATTAGGTAAAAGATATAAGTAGATGAAACCATAAAATTGTGTACAAAATATTTTAGATTTCGGCATTAAATAACCTATAGAAGTTGATATCAATCAACCAACCCACCAATCGTCTTTTCCAAATATAATTTCGGCCTAGTATGCAAACATGGAGGAAACTTACACTTAACATCAGAAAAGGCAGCTCGTACACATAATGAGGAAAGGGGGAGAATCTGATACACACGGATCAAGTAGAAGGAAAGAGTGTCAAAAAAAAAAAAAAAAAACAACACATGAAATACCTAACGGACTTAAGCAAATGGATGAAAGAACGTGGTCTGGGGGAGGAAGCAGAGGGAAGGAACTTGAGAGCTACAAGGGATAGTGGAAGTAGAGATCTGAAAGGACATGGCTCATAAAAAAAAGAGTGTTCGGCCTGTTGTCTATCTTCTCGCCATATATCTTGAAAAACGTGTTTCCTCATTGGCATTGTTACGTATCTGAAAAACAAGAGAATGAGAAAAATGTATTTTATTGAATTTATTACATAAAATCAATAAGCATACATTTTTTTTCACTCAAATGGTAATTTAAAAAAGGTGGGTAGATATTGTCTATTAACTATTACAATCTACAAGACCTCATGATTGACTGCTATGTTTTCGGTAGGCGATTACGGTAGCCTGAATGACTTTCCCAGGTAGCCACCCACTCGTTCCACTGTTCTCGAATACGGTCTTTAAACGGCTTGTTGAGACACACATCTCCCATATTAACAATTTACCTTAAACCGCAGGATTTAAAGTTCAAATTTTACACCTGGAGTATAAGACGGTCCCCTATTGGGAGGCATTTGTTAAGATTATAAGTTCGCCTTCTACGGTGACATACATGGTAGACACTTTCATATCTTCCGGTCATCTGGTTTATATTGTATGTTTGTATATCCAAAGTTCATTTGGTTTGATTCCTTGTATGTTGTCGCAGATACCGGCATCCGTTTAGGTCCGATTCTGTACTTGGTAACTATGAGGTTACCTTCTAGATTAACTCACGAGGCTCCTAGATCTTCTGTAGTTCTGGGATGAAACCGAATACAAAACATTTTGTTATCTCTTAGGGGGAACCCAGTAGATATAGGTGCCACCAAAGATCACTTCGTTTTAGATAAAAGGTTTTTGATTGAGATTAAATTCGATTCTGATCTTTGGTATTTCTTGTCGTGAATCACATTTAATGCATAAATAACATTTACTAATTCCACTGACAATCATACTGCCAAAATTTTCTACCTGGTCAGAAGTTGTCAGACAATTTAATATACGAAAAGTTAATCCTTCTTTGACGTTCTTTATTTTCATTTCATTTTACATATGAATAAAGAAAACATTGCTAACATCCACAGAAAATAATAAGTTCGTGTGCTTGTGTTTTCTACTAGAAACACAATAGAAATTCATTCGCCAACGCATCAAGATTCCAGGGGCGTTGTCGCGAATATGATATGGTAATTAAGCACGGCATATTTGTTTTTTGGTGCCAATTGATACAAAAAGTTATTCCTACGAAAACGTGTTCACATATTTATTTAGTGCAGGAGATTCTGGTTTTGTTTGGCTTCGTTACAAACCTGCTCATAGCAACGTGTTCAAAACGAATTTTCTTCAATTTTACGCACGCACGCACACACACACACACACACACACACTCATTATATCACATTATTTTATGATAAAATGCAGTTTATATTTAGTGGGCACAGGTGTTTTAGGCCGATCAAAAAGTAATTATAATATTTATTTTATATTAGAACATTAGAAACATATATTTCTATAACCAAATTTAAACACACACACAAACATATATATTAAGACATTTTTCTGTTCATACATTCTTTTTATAGATACAAATATTCAAGTAAATGCTCTGTTTTATAATAAAAATTTACCGGCCTGAATGTCCGAGAAATTTTCACAGAAAATATTCGTCCTCCGATAAGATTCGAACTTGCATCCTATACGGAACCGTCATTTAACTTGACGTGCCTTTACCGATTTGGCCACAGAGGCGCGCTCGGTTAGCTGGGCCGAATTTACTGTATTTAAAATTCAATCTTCCATGAATCTCTCATGTACATTCATATCTGCGTATCAAATGTAAATGGCGTATATATAATATAAATATATATATATATATATATATATATATATATTTAAGAATGCATGTATGCAAATATATATGTAAGTATACATGGATGTGCGACCACCTCGTTTGAATTTTCACATTTACCTATAAAAATATTATATATATATATATATATATATATATATATATATATATATATATATATATATATATATATATATATATATATATATATATATATATAATTTATTTACTCGTATTTGTGTAGAAGCTACGTTTATTTATTAAACAATATAATTTTTTTGTCTATCGCCAAGAATATTCGAGAGCATTATTAAAAAAAATGGCCCTCTCCGGCAGGAATCGAAACAGCGTTCACTTAGTAAAAAGTGTGTACACTGGAGAGCTTCTTTTTAGCGCAGCACCTCTTACAGTCTTGGACACTAAAAGCAGTTTGTTAGTTGAGTCTAAATCTCTTGCTTTCAAGCGAAGTTTCTCTTATCCCGTCATAATTTTTTTTTAAAGATTTAAATTTATAATTAATTTTAGCAGTAATCTAAATAAATAAACGTCAAATTCTCTGTCCGTCCGTTGTCTGAAACTCCTGTAACTCGGTCCACACTTAATCTATATAGAAATTTTAGACCTTTTTGGAATAAAGATGCTCACGGAATTGATAATCTGACTTGCATCTGGTGATTGAACATCCAGCATTGAGATGTCCGGATGAGCAGGGATCAGTTAAAAAAATAAAATCTATCTTCGCTCTCTCTTTATATATAACTTCTAAATAAATAAACGGCAAATTATATCTGTCTGTTTGTGTGTTTGAAATCCTTTAACTCGAGCCACACTTGATCTACAGAGATATATTTTCCGTTTTTGGAAGCAAGATGACGCGGGCAGTGAAAATCTACTCTTCATCTGGTACTCGCGATCCATTATTTGGATTTGAGTCCCGGATGAGGAGGGAATCTTTAAAAATTCAAATTTTAAAATAACTAAAACAAATAGTGATTTTAAAAGTTTTTTTTTTAATATATACTGAGTTTAAAGTAACACACAAAATTGTGAATTCAATTTTTTTGTTTGTTTAAAATTCAGTTTAAAATGTCTACAAAACTTTGTGCATTGAGGAAATCAATTTTATTTCTTCAAAATGCCTTGGAATAAGAGTTAAAGTGAGTGGATTCATAACGTGGGGCTTTGAAGTTACGCAGTGTTTGTGATTTGAAGAATTCAATTTTCGGCCTGAATTGGAATTTCGGCCCAAATCGATCTTTTGGCCGGAACTGGACTTATATAGTCCGAATAAGAGTTGAGTTGCGGCTTTGAAGTTCCATGGAAGGAATTGAGAAATTCATAGTTAGTCTTTCAAAAATATTACTGCTGTTTTATTTAAGCTGGACCAGAGGTCTCCTTAGCTTTGAGCCGGTGCCCCCCCCCCACGCAGCAGCTCGCTTAAAAGTTCTACACGGAGTGCGGATTTTAAGCAATTATTCTTATAATATTAAACTTATCAAATACATTTTGGTCTGAATGAAATCATTCATTAAACACCATCTTTCCACTGATTCTAACTTTTAAATACCCGTGTCAGGGATTGAACTCACAACAACTATATCACCAAATTTGTGAACCAACTCTTTAATCCGCATATTCGTGAATTTAGTGATATCGTAATAGTGAGTTCAATCTCTGTGTCAAACGGAGAGAGAAATGATTGAGTGGTACTAAATATGAACAAGATATGATATCTCTAAACATGAACAGTGGAATGAGTACAATGTCGCTCCGTAGATTAAAGAAACTGCTCAGTTAAATGTTCCCGGAAAGTTAACCGGACCGACAAGCAATTGATGAAGGCTGAAGAATGCAACAACCGAAACGTTAGAATAACAACAACAAAAATGAAGATAATATCTCGCTTGTAAATAATCTAAAATGAATTATAATTTATGGGAGAGAGATTTGACCATTATTTTGCTCATTCACATCTTTTTCCGATACGTTACAATGTCAATAAGGAAGTACGTCTTTTCAAGATATATGACGAGGATATAGACAATAGGCCGAACTTATAGGGTGTTTCATTAAGACGGATTATATATAATAGTGTTTCATTAAGACGGATGAAAGTCAGCAGTAAATAAATCAGTGTTATTGTTGAAAATTTATTTATTTCTCTATTGAATCATGTTATTTAAGTAATGACAATTATGTGTGAAAAATAATATCACCCAAATGTCCGCCAAATCTTAAAGAAAAAGAAAAAAAAATTATTAGCTTAAACTTAATTCACATTTAAAATCGATCCAATTATTGGAACATCCTTTATTTGCAAAGAATGATTGGTTTGTTTGTTAATTTTGTTTAGCGGCATGTCTACTTCTATTGGTTATTTAACGCCGAAATCTAAAATTTAATTTTATGGTTTCATCGACTGATATCATTTAGTTAATTTTATAATTTCAGTGCAAATATATGTTTTTTTTTAGGTATATAGTCTGTAGATCATAAAATATATTGCTGGTAATTTTACGATAAAATGTTTTTGCATTGAACTTTTTTCTGTGAAACGCTTTGATCCTTTTATACGGTGAATATAGCCCGAAACCTATATTTTAACATGAGAATTTTAGGGTCGTCTTATACACCCAGTCACCTTGTACGCCAACGTATACGGTAGTTTGTTGGAGGATTGAACGTTTGTAAAATGTCCCCGAGAAACCGTATATCTTATACAGCCGAAGTTAATTTCTTGCAGTGCAGATGTAAATAAAGATTTATTTTATGTATGAAAAATTTAGTTCAGAATTTCTATCAGACGTTACAAACATAAATTGAAATATTCGTTAGGAGGCTAATTAACATCACGTGGACTCGATCAGATGATTCTGAAACGTTTCGTATTCATCTTTGTTAACCTCAGCTTCCCAAATATGTGACGTGTGATTCACGTGTTTCGTGACGTACTGTTTTCTCCTTTCATCTGGTTAGACATGATCCTTTTTTTTCAACATACCATACCGTTGATTCAAATTTCTCATTTGTTTTTTTTGTCGGTCACAGCCTATGTTATCCTCAAAATTATCAAAATGAATTCAGTTTGCCTAGAATATACAAGTGAGTGGTTTACAGCCTTCGATTCAGATATACAGGTATTTAATTTAGGCATAAAGTTATTTTATAAACTTAAGTCATTCTCTAGTCGGCAAAGTCATTTATCCTTACTTTACACCAGGGCAGCGAGGCAGTTACGAATCTCAGTGATATTTAACTACCAGCGTAAGCGGATAGAATGTAAAAAATATGTTTCATATGAGAACCCACATGTGTACAGGTGTGTAAGTGCCCATTCATGGCAACCAGTGTCGTGAAACTGTGATTATACCTGAAATTCCTTCTTTTGGTCTATGGGGGAAATCCTACCCTCCAGACAGAATCCCGTGTACAAGTTTCAAATGCTATTTTATTTGTGATTGGCTAGATAATTCGGCGTGCCATCATATAACGATAATATATCCCCAGACACCACATAGAAAAAACATGAAAATGTCTTCTCGTTGAAGTGTTTTTTTTTTCCCGGTGACCATAATATGGTCAAAGAGATGGAATTGTTCAAGAATTACACTGACTCCCGGATTCCAGCTTCCAGAATGCGGGATGTTCAGTCCCCTATTGTCCCAGTTATTACTGGGGCGTTGTGGTTCTATACCAATGAACACAAAGTCCTGCCTTAAGAAAATCGGAATAAGGGCCAGTATCTCATGCCATCAGTAGTCTGCGTTGCTTGGAACTGCAACTATTATGCGAATGTTGCTCACTGTTTAAGATCAATCGACTTAATAGAAAACACCCAATGAAAGATCCCCGGTTAAAAAAAATATACAAATCATAATAATAATAATAACAGCAGCACATATAACTTGCGAGATTCCTTTTTCTATTATCATATTTCTAATTACTTAATATTATGTTAAGGTTAGTCTTAGTTTTTTCTCAAGGTGGATAGCAACTGCGCAGGTTTATGTTCAAGTTTTTCAGTTTTGTGCGTGATTTATGATCTATCTATCTATCTATCTATCTATCTATCTATCTATCTATCTATCTATCTATCTATGTTAGTCTGTCTCTATCTATCTATCTATCTATCTATCTATCTATCTCAGTCTGTCTATCTATCTATCTATCTATCTATCTATCTATCTATCTATCTATCTATCTATCTATCAGTCTGTTTCCTTCTATCTATCTATCTATCTATCTCAGTCTGTTTACTTCTATCTATCTATCTATCTATCTATCTATCTATCTATCTATCTATCTATCTATCTATCTATCATGTAAAATCTTTCTATTGTGAGAAGGAAATTTCACTCAGACCGCCTTTTCTCAAGAAATGTTACTTTCTGCAATAGACTTTGAATCTTGATCTCTTCAATTCGAAACGCAACCATTATCTGTCCTACATATCCTCATGATATGCACTTGATACTCCCTCCTGTAGAATAAACTTATCTTTTAACCATCAACAGTGAGTGACACGTGGACCTTGTATTGGGTGAAGAATATTATCTAAAAAAAAAAACGCCAAAATATCCGGAGCGTTTGTTTTACAATGAAATACTGCTTTACCAAGATTTTAGAAGTATATTGCCGAAATACTTTTAGTTCTCAGAATCTTTATTTATATTTACATTTCTTCTAGCAAGTCAGTGAAAAGTTTTCTAAATAATTTTAATTTATTAAACATTCTAATTGATTTGTATTTTTACGTATATAATTCCTCATCGTTGGTTTTTTTTCCGAAATTTTATTTGAAAGGTATACGTTTCATTCAATATACTTCCGTTATTTTGAAGCTTGTTGAAGCTTTATAAAACAGAAGAAATGGTAAAAAAATAATGCCTTGTGCAATGGAATTGTGAAACAAAATGGTAATATTAGCGGTTTCCCCATGATGAAACATCGTGGCATTCATTAACCGAGCAGGCAGTATGGCATTCGTTTTGAATTTATAAAATCTTTACCTGAAAACAACTTTTCAGGAAAATAACTTGTTTTTTTTTTTAGTTCAGTAGCTGTTATCACTCTTTCCAGTATTGATGGGTTTTCTTTCCTAACCATTTATTTGAAGTCGTTTCGAATGCTAACATATTGATCATTACTTTCTCTTCGACTTAAATGTTCTTGTTGGTAAAAATTTTACTCTAAATGACAATTTAAAAAATATTTTAGATATCAAAATATCAAAGCTTCACAAAAATATTCTCCACTCGAATTAAAAAAAATGCGGGCTCTCAGAAAATAACCCGTTGATTAACTGCATCGACCTATACACGGAGTTTGTATTTTTACCAATTTATCATATATAAAATATTGGGGTCGGCTCATTCACGGGTATAAACAATATCTGTCTGTCTGCCTATGTAGATATACGTTACCTGCTTTTGAATATAGACTGATCGTGTTTCTTATATCGTAACCAGTTCACTACGGAATTTGCTATAACAATTGTAGGCTACCAGACGAATAAGCATAAATAACGGTAAGGCTTGTAAAAGTCCCCTAGTCCAGAAGTGACTGATTTCTAAGCCAGAAACAACAGCTACTCGGCAAGTGTGCTTCTCATTCGTGCAGCCAATGGCAAGTCTCAGGGCTCAGGTTGTCGTTATCGATTATTTGCTGAAACTGATGGTCGCTCCTGCATTAGTACAGCAGCAGATGTCATATGTCAAAGCAAGCCTTTCCTTCAGCGTAACGTTCGCGCACTTTTCTCGCCATTCTAGTCGCGTTTTATTGTCTTTTTTATTTTTATTTTCCGTTACTTTTCACTTTTTGTTGCTCTTTTCTTTCCTAGCATGCCTGAAATTGTTGCTATTTCCTTCTTTAAAATGTACCTTTCTTTCTTTCTTTTTCTTTTTCTTTCGTTCTTTCTTTTTTTTTTTTTCGTTCTTTCTTTCTGTTTATTCCTTGTAAATTGTTTCTTTCAAACATTATTATTATATAATTGATTCATTCGTTTGCATTTTTCCTTTCCTTCTTTTCTTATTCATTTTATTCTTTCTTTCTTTCTATTTTGTTTATTTTATTCTTTCTTTCTTTCTTTCTTTTTTTCTCTTATGATTTTTTTCTTACAAATATTTTTCTATTATTATTTAATTGATTCATTCATTTACCCTTTTTCTTGCGATCTTTCATTATTTCATTCGTTCTTGCTTTCTTTTTATTCCTTCGAAAATGTTCCTTCTTTCATTTGTCCTTTTACTTTCTTTCTATCTTTCTTTCTTTTTATTCCTTGGTAACATTTTCTTTCTAACATTTCTTTCTGTATTATAATTTAATTGTTTCTTCCTTCCGTTTTATTCATTTAATTTTTCTTTTAAATATTTATTTTTATAAGTTTATTTTTGCTATATATTAATTTATGATGTTTTTCTTTCTTTTTGTTTATTTTGTCCTTTCATTCAATATATATATATATATATATATATATATATATATATATATATATATATATATATATTTTATTTCTTTTTTTTCTTTCTTCTGTATTTTAAGCGTTTACGATTTATTCTTCTATTTTTTGTTTAATCCTTCTTTCTTTCTTTCTTTCTTTCTTTCTTGTTTCTTTCTTTCTTTCTTTCTTTCTTTCTTGTTTCTTTCTTTCTTTCTTGTTTGTTTGTTTGTTTGTTTCTTTCTTTCTTTGTTTCTTGTCTTTCTTGTTTGTTTGTTTCTTTGTTTCTTCTTTGTTTCTTTGTTTCTTTCATTCTTGTTTGTTTCTTTGTTTCTTTGTTTCTTTCTTGTTTGTTTCTTTCTTTTTTTCTTGTTTCTTTGATTCGGCTTTTATACATATAATGACTTCGTGTCTAACATCTTTATCTCCATTTTTTTTCTCTACTTGTTTAGTTCAATGTTATTCTCATGCAAAGTTCTTTCATCAATTTTTAAATCTGTTTTTTTCTCTTCCTCTCAATCATACGTCTTTTTTTTTAACAAATACTTTTGTCTTTCCCTCCATCCTTTCCTATTCTATCCCCTCATCTTTTATCGTCTGCTATGCATTTGCATCACTTCCTAAACAAAACCAGACTCTGTCCAAAATTTTCCCTGCTGCTACCAAAACGATTCTTTTTTTTTCTCTCTCGGTGCGTCTTCCGTCATTCATCTTATTACTCCGCCTACTGCCATCTCCTCTGACAACGTTTCCCATAATTCCTCACAGAACTCAATCTTTCTTCTCGTTTCGCTTTCTACGAAGTTTTATTACTTCCCTATAGCTCCCACTTTAGTGTTTTATCGTTCCCATAAGTCTCTCTGTTTTTCCGTCCATTGCCATCTCTATTCTTAATATTCCGTTCATATATTACCGCCATCGATTCTGCCTTCATTTCTCTTATTCCGACCAAATAATTACCCGCTTTCTACAGTGTCTCCAATATACACCCTTTTGCTGCCTGGGAAATTTATGAAATTTCGCTGGACTATGTATCTGCTTCTTTCTCTGTCTCTCTGAGATTTACCTCTTATTTCTTCAAAGAAACATTTTTTTTGCATAGACATATATGCATGTACACAGACACACACATACACAGACAGACCCGCACACAAGTGAGCATACAATAAATTGATATTTTCTAGGTTTTGATTAATTTGATACAGGGCTACAGATGAAGATTGTGTCCAAGCGTGAGTTTACCTTGAAAATCAGCAGTCGAAACCATGGCTACGAGTGAAGCTCGAACACCGACAACTAGCGCCAGTGAAGAATATCTATTGCCGTAATAATTAAGAAGGAATTAACTCCAAATGTTATGAGATATTGCTCCTATTATATGACATTGAATACTGGAACATCTTATCAAATATGAGGAAGAGGCATTATGCAACACAAATCTAGTTCTAACGAAGGATGTCAAGAACACTATGGACGGGATATGTGAGCAATAACAAAGTTTTAGATGTGATGGAAACAAATAGGTCACTTATAATTCGAATAAAAAAAGAGACAGTTGAATTTTCTCGGACATATTATAAGTGTTATGGGATCTTACCCATAATAATAATAATGGACTATTCCATACTTAATAAATACTGCGCCTCAGGAGTAGGCAAGGAGTCATTCGCTCAACTCTTGAGCGAGTGTTCGGTTCACCTCTCTGTCTACGGACGGAGAGGAACGAAGGAGGCTACGCCGAAGGGCGGAGTCTCTTTCGGGGGGGTAAAACTCGGCCCAGAACCTGTTTATACGGGTTCAAAAATGGGCTATTTTGGCCGAGCCTAATGGCTCGGGAATGCCCACGTTAAAAAGGCCTTGTGCCACATGACACCCTCGTGGCGGGGGGTGACTGAATATCGTCATTCGCTCAACTCTTGAGCGAGTGTTCGGTTCAAGGAAAAAGGCTACGCCGAAGGGCGGAGTCTCCTTCGGGGAGGTAAAACTCGGCCCTGAACCCGTTTATGCGGGTTCAAATGGGCTATTTTTTGGCCGAGCCCTAATGGCTCGGGAATTCCCCGTTAAAAGGCCTTGTGCCACATGACACCCTCGTGGGGGGTGACTGAATATTGTCATTCGCTCAACTCTTAGCGAGTGTTCGGTTCACCTCTCTGTCTACGGACGGAGAGGAACCCGGAGGCTACGCCGAAGGGCGGAGTCTCCTTCGGGAGGTTAAACCGGCCCTGAACCCGTTTATACGGGTTCAAATGGGACTAATTCGGAAATGCCCACGTTAAAAAAGGCCTTGTGCCACATGACACCCTCGTGGGGGGTGCTAAATATTGTCACTCGCTCAACTCTTGAGCGAGTGTTCGGTTCACCTCTCTGTCTACGGACGGAGGAACCTGAAGGAGGCTACGCTGAAGGGCGGAGTCTCCTTCGGGAGGTTAACTCGGCCCTGAACCCGTTTATACGGGTTCGAATGGGCTATTTTTTGGCCGGGCCTAATGGCTCGGAAATGTTAAAAAGGCCTTGTGCCCATGACACCCCTCGGGGGGGTGACTGAATATTGTCACTCGCTCAACTCTTGAGCGAGTGTTCAGGGAGGAACCCGAAGGAGGCTACGCTGAAGGGCGGAGTCTCCTTCGGGAGGTTAAACTCGGCCCTGAACCCGTTTATACGGGTTCGAATGGGCTATTTTTTTGGCCGGGCCTAATGGCCCGGAAATGCCCACGTTAAAAAAGGCCTTTGCCACATGACACCCTCGTGGGGGGTGACTGAATATTGTCACTCGCTCAACTTTTGAGCGAGTGTTCAGTTACATCTCTGTCTACGGACGGGAGGAACCCGAAGGAGGCTACGCTGAAGGGCGGAGTCTCCTTCGGGAATGCCCTGAAACCCGTTTATACGGGTTCGAATGGGCTATTTTTGGCCGGGCCTAATGGCCGGAAATGCCCACGTTAAAAAAGGCCTTGTGCCACATGACACCCTCGTGGGGGGGTGACTGAATATTGTCCTCGCTCAACTCTTGAGCGAGTGTTCAGTTCACATCTCTGTCTACGGACGGAGAGGAACCCGAAGGAGGCTACGCTGAAGGGCGGAGTCTCCTTCGGGGAGGTTTGGCCCTGAACCCGTTTATACGGGTTCGAATGGGTATTTTTTGCCGGGCCTAATGGCTCGGAAATGCCCACTAAAAAGGCCTTGTGCCACATGACACCTCTTGGGGGGGGGACTGATATTGTCCCGCTCAACTCTTGAGCGAGTGTTCAGTCTACATCTCTGTCTACGGACGGAGAGGAACCCGAAGGAGGCTACGCTGAAGGGCGGAGTCTCTCCTTCGGGAGGTTAAACCGGCCCTGAACCCGTTTATACGGTTTCTGAATGGGCTATTTTTTGGCCGGGCCTAATGGCTCGGAAATGCCCACGTTAAAAAGGCCTTGTGCCCATGACACCCCTCGTGGGGGGTGACTGAATATTGTCACTCGCTCAACTCTTGAGCGAGTGTTCAGTTCACATCTCTGTTCGAAGGAGGCTACGCTGAAGGGCGGAGTCTCCTTCGGGAGGTTAGCTCGGCCCTGAACCCGTTTATACGGGTTCGAATGGGCTATTTTTTGGCCGGGCCCGGAAATGCCCACGTTAAAAAGGCCTTAATGACACCCTCGTGTGGGGGTGACTAAAATTGTCACTCGCTCAACTTTCTGAGCAGTGTTCTGTTCACCTCTATCTCCGGACGGAAGGGCGGAAGGAGGCTCCGCCGAAGGGCGGAGTCTCCTTCGGGAGGTAAACCGGCCCCTGAACGTGCTTAGGCGGGTTCAAATGGGCATATTTTTGGGCCGAGTCTACGGGCTCGGATAAGCCCACAATAAAAAATCGACCTTGTGTCACATGGTTCTCTAGTGGGAGGGAAACTAATATTGTCTCGCTCAACTCTTGAGCGAGTGTTCGGTTCACCTCTCTGTCTACGGACGGAGAGGAACCCGAAGGAGGCTACGCCGAAGGTCGGAGTCTCCTTCGGGAGGTTAAAACTGGCCCTGAACCCGTTTATACAGGTTCGAATGGGCTATTTTTTGGCCGGGCCTAATGGCTCGGAAATGCCCACGTTAAAAAGGCCTTGTGCCCATGACACCCTCGTGGGGGGGTGACTAAATATTGTCACTGGCTCAACTCTAAGCGAGTGTTCAGTTCACATCTCTGTCTACGGACGGAGAGGAACCCGAAGGAGGCTACGGCGAAGGGCGGAGTCTCCTTCGGGGAGGTAAAACCGGCCCTGAACCCGCTTTAGCGGGTTCAAATGGGCATATTTTTGGGCCGAGCCCACGGGCGGGGGTAAACCCACAATAAACAACCGACCTTGTGTCACATGTTGCCCTAGTGGGAGGGAGACTAAATATAGTCACTCGCTCAACTCTTGAGCGACTGTTCGGTTCAAGTCTCTGTCTACGGACGGAGAGTAACCCGAAGGAGGGTACGCCGAAGGGCGCAGTCTCCTTCGGGGAGGTAAAACGGGCCTGAACTCGTTTATACGGGTTCAATGGGCTATTTTTTGGCCGAGCCCACGGGCTCGGAATGCCCACGTTAAAAAGGCCTTGTGCTACATGACACCCTCGTGGGGGGGTGACTGAATATCGTCAGTAGTTCAAGTCGAGTCAAGAGTCGAGTCAGAGGCAGTCCGAAACAGAGTCGCGTTCAGACAATTACTGCAAGACATTGGAATAGTGATACTGGTCAAGACTACATTGTTCTCTCTACTAAACCTGATTGTCCATACTAAGACTTCTACTTCTCTGTATATATTCCTGTTTGTAATATATCTGTGTTATTCCACATAAGTGTTCGAGTTCTTCTTTATTGGTTCTATCTTGGACTATCACCGTGGTACAAGGAACCGGACCATAACAATAAGGAAAGATGCTTTAGAAAATGTGACACTTATAGGGCATATTGAAGGCAAGAGGAACAGAGGAAAACAGCGCTAACAAGCTTGTGTAAATGGTTGGATTAGGAGAGATAACAAAGAACAATAAATTGTCCCGAAAGAACACGGCACATAGAAAAAGAATGCTGTAAAGGACGAATTTTGCGTCTATATTTCATCAAACGTAAACATGCTAAGTTTGTTAGATAATTTATTAATCGCAATTCCAAACCTCAATCTATAAGATGTTTAGAGATCTGAATTACTAGTCAGTTGTTTTTAAGGAAACGGTGAGATAGAAGGAAAAAACTTTACTTTTTGAAATTGTGGAGCGCTAACCCTTTATGTCCGTGAAGGGACGCGACACATTAGACCAATAAAAACACGCACATATTTTAGCAACTGATGGCTCGGCATGTCTGTCATTCCAAGTAAAATACCACTTATTTGCTTCATATTTTCATAATCCACGGACTATATAAAAAGTGTTCCATTACTTGGACCGATTTTAATGTGATTTCGGCGTTAAATAACAAATAGAAGTAGACATGCCGCTAAACAAAATTAAGAAACAAACCAATCATTCTTTGCAAATAGAGGGTGTTCCAATAATTGGGCCGATTTTAAATGTGAATTAAGTTTAAGCTAATAATTTTTTTAATTTTTTTTTCAGATTTGGCGGACATTTGAGCGATATTATTTTTCACACATAATTGCAATTGATTTAAGTAACATGATACAATAGAGTAATAAATAAATTTTCACCAATAACACTGATTTATTTACTGCTGATTTTTATCCGTCTTAATGAAACACACTTATATATAATCCGTCTTAATGAAACACCCTATATAAGTTCGACCTATTGTCTATATCCTCGCCTTATACCTTGAAAAGACGTACTTCCTTATTGACATTGTAACCTATCC